CTCTTATTCATAACAACTTAATTGGTTGGTTATTCCCATCGCATAACGACTTGGAATAAAGAAGATCTCTTATTCATAACAACTTAATTGGTTGGTTATTCCCATCGCATAACGACTTGGAATAAAGAAGATCTCTTATTCATAACAACTTAATTGGTTGGTTATTCCCATCGCATAACGACTTGGAATAAAGAAGATTTTGTTCGATAATAGCAGAGGCCGAGAAGTGGGTCGTCGGTCATGAAGGACCAATTAATGTGGAGAAGAGGACGTCGCTGTCCACAAAAGAAACCACGAATCACTTTATTCTTAACGGCTCAAAAGGGGGCCGGGGGTCCATCCTGACAAGTACCCATTACATTTTGTCCCTCTGGCTAATAAATGCATGCGGATATGTATTTTTAGTTACCAACCTCTCTAAGGGCATCTCCAACAGCTTCTCTAAAATCTTCTCCAAAATGCCAAAGCAAAAGTCATATTCTCCAACTAATTTTTACACCAACTCCAACAGTTTTCCCATTTTGAAGAATCCCTTTTTTTCTTCAAAATTTTGGAGAATGCTGCAGATTTGGGGAAGCTTCCCCATTTTTTCTCCTCCATCCCTATTTTGGGGAATGAGATGGGGAATCTGTTGGGTCAAAAACCTAACTAAATTATCCAAAAGTGGGAAATGAAAAAGCTGTTGGAGATGCTCTTAAAACGACATAACATAATAACATATGATATTCTACCTAGACTTATCTTTTCTGTGCCCACACTCCGCACAGCCAATCAATACCAATTTGGTTGGAACGGCATGATACGATTCACGTAAAGATCAAACCCTTCGAAATTGGATATTGGCGTAGCATATTGCGACACGTCGTATATATATTTGTGTTGTTATAATATAATCAAATTGAGCTACAAATTAAAGGCTTTTGCAGCAATTATTCACTACTATATTATGTGTTAACCTTAGAGCATACATAGATCAGATGAGATGCCGCACTTCATGATCACTGACAGGAATATGATATATTAATATGCACGTGTTCACTATATTTTGGTGGGCGATCCATAATGTACATGCGATATGTGGTCCTCCGGTGTGATTACTTATTATAACCCTCTTTGATCTGATGAAACCCCACCATGCTCATTGCTCCCTGGGGGTTGCATGGTGGGTGATAAGTAGTGCTGCCACCTCAAGCACATATGCCATACCATATCATTTTTCAATAATATAAATACCCTTTCTTTATATACAATAATGTCCACAAATTTTTTTTTTTTATTCCAAACTTTCTGGGCCGGGTGGCCGAAATTTTTTCCCATATAGCTGTTTTGTTTTCTCGATTAGATTTTGACTGTAAGAAAATTCTCAATACTACAAACTGTAGTCTGTAGGCTCATAATAAAGAGATATCTAATTAGTAGGCGTATGGAGATATTTATTTCGAAGTTTTATTCTTAAAAAAATTCCTAATGAAAGATTCAATTAATCATATTGTTTCGTTATTGAAGGAGTAGCAGGTTAAATTCTATAAATATAGTTTAACTAGCTAGAGTTTTATATTACAGGTGATCTTGTGGTTGACAAATGACGTCAAAAGACAACACGAGTGGGCAGCCTTTTAAAATCTGCCTTTTTTTGTTTGTCTTGATTGATCTGGAAGGAAAAGGGAGCATGCATGTTATAATCAGCACAAGTGATCAAATACCTTGTTATATAAGAGAAACTATATATGTAATTAGCTTTTCACGCCAACAACTAATTAATAGATAATTAACAACGGATGAAGCTCAAGCTAAGCTAGTGGGAGGAGGGGCTTTAAACGGGTTACCAATTATCTATTATTAGAATAAATATATAGGGAAAAATGTGTCGGGGCCCCAAAAGCTGAAAAACCATGTGACGAGGCCCCTTGTATTTTCCCCCCTGTGTATAAGCCCCAAAAAGCAGCCTCTAATATTTCTAAGGCCCTCCACGTCAGCTGTATACAGCCAGAGTCATTGTATTTTGTAAAAACCCGACTTTGCCCTTCTCCTTCGTCCCCAGACGCTTCGTCACATCTCATTAAATGAGACTGGACTCGATTACGGCGCCTCTTTTACCCCGCCTCTATTTTTACTTTCTTCCAAAATACAAAAGAGCTACCGAAACTCTCAATCTTCCATTTCCAGCGACGGAGTTTATTTTCGCCGTCTAGGTTTTTCGCCGGAAAATGTCGTCCAGGGAAGCGGAATCTGTAAATGACTACGAAATCTCTCATCGCAGCGATTTGAAGGAAAAAGACGGTTCGTCTGGGATTGGCAGCGCAGAGGAAGCCACTCAAACCCTCATGGTAATGCAAAAGAATGCCCTAGAATGGCGAAACCGCCAAAGAAGAACGGCAAGGGCTGGCCGTGCCACCAACCCCCCCCCCCCCCAGAAAAACAGTAAGTGCTAGGTATCCACTATCTGGGGTTTCGAAGTTATCCACTATTTGGGGCTTCGAAGTAATGTGCCCTAATGTTAGTGCTAGGCAATGTTAGTTCTAGTTTGAGTCCATGTTAGTTCAATAACAGTCGGTGTTAGTTCTATTAGATGCCGTGCCCTAATGTTAGTGCTAGCAATGTTAGTTCTAGTTTCAGTCCTTGTTAGTTCTATAACAGTCGGCGTTAGTTCTATTAGATGCCGTGCCCTAATGTTAGTGCTAGGCAATGTTAGTTCTAGTTTGAGTCCATGTTAGTTCTATAACAGTCGGCATTAGTTCTATTAGATGCCGTTTAGTGTTAGGTCTAATTCAGTTCACGTTAGTTCTAATTGAACTTGAAATTTTTATTTTTACAGGAAAATGCTTGTTGAATTTAACCCGTTTGAATCATTAAGGCTAACCGTCAATATCACGGGTTATTGGCAAGTCATGAAGTCTATTGCTCCGAAGATGCGTCAGTGCCACATGGATGCATATCGCGGATCGATATTTCAGCACTACATTTTATTCGGGGTTCTCCAGCCTGATCGCCCCACGCTTGAACTGCTGCTGAGTTATTATGATAGGGCCAATGACACATTTTGTATCCCTGATTCAAAGACTGGGGGCTTGAAAAGTGTTAAATTTGATTTGCAATGGGTCCATAACCATACATACTTCCCAGCTTATGGGGAACTCATACATATCAACCGGGACTCAACAAACAGAATCTGGTTGCAATACTTCGCTCATCTTTTTAAAACTGAAGATGGGAAGAAGTTAAAAAAAGTAACAATTACCCATCGAAGATACCTTGAAGGGCAGCTGGAAAGGCTCGTGGAGTCTACAGAAGAAGATGATATCCGAGATTTTGTTCTGCTGCAAATTCTGTACCAATGCTCTATGATATGGTGCCCCAGAAGCGGGGAGGGTATCCCTAGACCTCTACTCAGATATCTGGATAGCATGGAGAGGGTCAATAAGGTAGCTTGGGCTTAATTCTTTTATACAGAAATTAACAGGGGGATTAAAGCTGCTATGGAGTGCAAGAAGGGGCCAGGGGTCACATATGTCCCAGGTTGCATGACACTTTTGTGTGTAAGTGCCATGTTTTACTCAATTTAGTTCATTCTAGCTCTGATTCATGCCA